ACAATTGTGTTATATTAATAATAATTAAAATAGTATACAATTAAATAACCATTTGATTAAATAAATAAAAAGGTTGATAAATATTAGAAATTAAAATAATGAGTAGTAGTAATGTTCAATCCGATAAAAGATATTGCTCTCTCCCATACAGTTACGGATCAGAAAGAATTGCCAGAATATTGAAGAAATATAATATAATTACCACATATCAATCTGCACCAAACTTAAAACAAATTCTACGCCACTCAAACACCAAGAATAATAGTAAAAAGGAAAACAAAAGCAATATAATTTACAAAATTCCATGCAAAAACTGTCCAGCCACTTACATAGGAGAAACCAGCAAAGCATTGAAAGAACGCATCAACCAACACAAAGCAGCTCTACGCATCCATAAACCATTATCTATCCTAGTAGACCATGCGCTAAACAATAGTCATATACCCGATTTTGACAAAGCATCCATTTTATAGAAGAATATTAAAGAAAAACACTGCAGGTTATTTTTAGAAAGCTGGGCCTCTATAAAAGATACAGAAAGCATAAATAGGAAAATCGACCTACCAGAAATTTATAGAGAATTTATATCTTCCTAAATTATTTATTATTTATTATTTTTTTATATTTTTTATTATATTTTTATTTATATTTATCAACACAACATATTGAATCATAATCCCTACTCATTATTTTAATTTCTAATATTTATCAACCTTTTCATTTATTTAATCAAATGGTTATTTAATTGTATACTATTTTAATTATTATTAATATAACACAATTTTACATATATTTTATAAAAACAGTGAAATTTTCATCAGATAGTTTCTTACTTTGATCTTGTATAGCATGAGTGGATCACATGCCCACGAGATTTAGTTTAAATCAAAAGCCTTGATAAAGAGAGGCGTGTTGCCCCTAGAAATATTGGCTGTTTAATAAATTTAGATCCAGTATATGCTTTATATTTATTTATATATATATTTATTAAATAATTTTATACTTCATTCTGTAGTAGTAATAAATCATCATTATGTGATGATGCTTATTCCGATATATGGTGTAAGCCATCATCAATTGCAACGTCAGGAGCTACCTCCAAGAAAATACCAGTTTTTCTCAAGGATAGCCTGCCGTTTTCACAATAGAGGCGGCCCTCTAATTTGATAATAAAATCTGTCACTCCTAATCTACTCGAGTAGACGGCGTGCATTTTTATATTTAAATGGTTTTTGACGTCTAATAGAAACACATCTTATAACAGTCATTATATTAAAAGCTTTTTTTCGCGAACTTTTATATAACGCTCGACTAGATATTTTTGGTATTTTTTTTTAAATATTCGAATTACAGGGTCCATTATGAAAGAAATTAGCATTTACTGGCAAAATACATTTTTGATCGTAATTTGTGCAAATGTTCAATATTCTTCAAAATACATTCCCCCTGCATCAATACACTTGCGGAGACGCGTTTGCCACGTCTGAAAGGCACCCTGAAACTTCTCGACAGGAATGCTTCTCAGGAACGTTGTAACATGGTGTTGGATGTTTTCCGCGGTTTCCCAATGTTTTCCTTTCATCTCTCTCTTGAGTCGCGGAAACAAAAAGAAGTCACATGGAGCTAAGTCAGGACTGTAAGGGGGTGAGAGAGAGGGATCACCGGGGTGTTGCTCCGGCTCAGGAAGTTGGTAATGATGAAGGCTGTGTGGCTTGTGGCATTGTCATGGTGGAGCTTGACCGTGTTTTTGATGTCAGTCCTCACGCGTGCGATCCGGCGTTTCAATCTCCTGAGCACCTCCAGGTAAAAGGCTGAGTTTACAGTTTGTCCCTGCGGTACAAACTCACAGTGGACTATTCCTCGGATGTCAAAGAAGACAATGATCATCGTTTTGATGCGCGACTTGCTCATTCGCGCTTTCTTGGGGGCGTGGGGATGATTTTGTGTGCCCTGCACAGCTCTGCCTTTTCGACTCTGGGTCGTATTCAAACATCCAGGATTCGTCTCCGGTTACTACAGAGTTCAGAAAGTCCGGTTCATTTTTAATCAAATCTAACAATTCTTGACAGCGCAAAACTCTAAGTTCTTTCTGGTCTTGCGTCAACACTTTCGGCACAAGCTTCGCACAGACCTTACGCATTTGCAGATCCTCGGTCACTATCAATTGTACTACAAATGTGGACATGTGTAATGTGTCAGCAATTTGCTGGGTGCTTAATCGACGGTTGGTACGCAAAACTTCGAGCACACGATCCACGTTCTCGTCAGTTCTGGCCGTTGTTGGGCGTACTGAACGGGGTTCGTCGGCGACCTCCTCCCGGCCCTCCTTGAACGCCTTGTGCCACTTCCCAGACTGTGATCTTGAAATGCAATCGTCCTTGAAGGCTTTTTACAGCATCTGGAATGTTTCGGTTGCATTTTTTCCAAGCTCACGCAAAACTTTATGGCGTATCGTTGTTCAAGCGAACGCTCCATCGCGCTATGTTACAAAAGTTGAAAACACACTTCAAGCGGAGGCATGTATCTCCCCTCACACTGCTCGAACTCAACTGACGACCGGATGGATTGAAAGGGCATATCCCTCCACCACATTTTCCACGGTTTCACCGTGCTGCCATCTATCGTCGCGTCACAATAACATTATGCTCATTACTTTCATAATGGACCCTGTATATACATTTATAATGAGATTTTGCCGCCAGTTATGTTAGTGCACTTTAGGATTTTTTTTTTTGGCGGTGTCAGAATAATGTGTATCAACTTTACTAGTTAGGTAGTAATCCCCGAGATGGTATGTAACGCTAGATGTACCTAGCTTTCGGGCATGGTTCTTTATATTTTTTCTATTTGTCCTAAGTACACGCGTACACATGATAATCATGGTGGGTAGTTAGCGACTGCTTTTACTGTAAGTGCATCACCTGTCTACACATGTGAAAAGCAGTTCGACTTTTAAATTACAAATGTACCAGAGCCTCGTTTGGTAAATTGACTCGCTGGTGGGGTTGGACTTTTGCAAGAATCGGGGCGCATTGGAGCATTTTTTTTTAATTGGAAAAAAGTGCCTAATGCAAGATACGATCCCGGGTCGTAGCAGTCGAAAACCAATGGTTAGACTACCCTTCCACAGACTCCCATTAAAACAACAAGCATATAGAATGAATAATTGGTTTCATATGTAATGTAATATAGTCTGTATTTTATTTTCTTGGAATATGTGTAATCGACAGAATAGGTTATCATCATATTAGTTTTCGTATCATCATCAACCATGAGTTAAGGTTGAGTAGTGTAAACAAAAATTGTTTTTAAGTTTTAGGGTTTTTTGGATTTTGACTTAATATATCGCATACATAATTATAAAACGAAAATTAAAATTATACCGCGAATGTTTCTTTTAAAAATCGAAATTTATTTTCAAAGAGAAATAGCGACATTTCTAACTTTGAGGATGAGGTATGGAAAGGTGAAACATGAAGAGTAATGGAGAACGGAAAAATAAAAAGTGTCCAGGGGCGGGAATCGAACCCACACCCTTCTTCGATTCCCGCCCCTGGACACTTTTTATTTTTCCGTTCTCCATTACTCTTCATGTTTCACCTTTCCATACCTCATCCTCAAAGTTAGAAATGTCGCTATTTCTCTTTGAAAATAAATTTCGATTTTTAAAAGAAACATTCGCGGTATAATTTTAATTTTCGTTTTACAATCATCAGCCGCGTTATATTATACATAATTATAGTTTGAAAATAGAGATTAAATAAAACTATTGGTAGATATATATGGTAATTTAAACCAACAACCCCATATTGTATATAACTTATAACAAGTTGTTCATGTTGTATAATAGAAACACATCTGTAAATGATTATACGCATGATTGACATGTGTCATTACATCATCATATGTATTGTACTTTGTACAAACTGAGGATAAATAAATAAAACTCTGTAATAGATTAAGAGTTGAGCTAAAGAGATAGAAGTCAAAAACGTCTAAATTTGAGATAGATGGAAGTCACAAACAACATCTAAAGATAGATTGGAAGCTGTCAGGACGGCGCCAGTTTAGAATGTCACCAGACGATCCACACTCTTCACATCTGGTGAAATGCAAAACTCCCTTTCTCAGAAAAGGTATATAAAGCCCCCGTTTTAACCTAAAAATACAGTCACTTCACCATCTGTGTGAGCACTCGTCGGTTGTACCCCAGGTCCACCTCATCGACCATGTAGCCCAGTAAGAACTCTTCCATCTCCATCTTTCGCTCCTAGCTCAACTTTTATCTGTTCACGGAACTTTCTTAGTGAAACTGGGTCTTCGTTTTTTGTGTGGACATCCCTAAGCTTTCCACTCTGCCTCTAGCACGACTGCCTGTACTCTATGAAAACTGTTAAAGGTCTTCCAAGGTGCAGAGAGGTACTGGAAAACTCCCCATCCTGCCTGTTCCTCTCGGTCAACACAGTATAGCGAGAGTTGACAGGGACTCACACGATAGAATAAGTCGACTGGATACCTCATCACATTATAGTCGACAGGATTTTACAAGAGGCTACCGGACCTCACCATATATATATATATATATATTAAATATGGCATATCCTGCCCAGGAGTACTGATTTCAACACCTGATCTTTTATCTTTTATTTTTTATTTCGTTTTTTAATATATATATATTAAAAATATAAATATTTTTTCAAATCCAATATATGCCTTTTATTATCTAATATATATATATATAAAGAGAAAAATATTTAAAAAAAAACATACCTCCATAGATTTTCTTTTGTAGAAAGATGATATTTATTAGTAGAAAAAAGTCACCTCTTCTTTTTAATACGTTTGGTCGAATTTTTAAAAATGTTTTTATATATCGATAGGTGTTATTGCCTTGTCGGCCGCCTGGTCTTGGTTCATTGACCTCTTGGAGATATATCATTTATATTCGATATAAGGCATCATTGAAGGAATATTGATGCGGTGGTATTTATAGGGTTAATGAGGGTATAGCTCAGTGGTAGAGCATCATTCGACTGCAGATCTAAAGGTCCGTGGTTCAATTCCGCATGCCCCTACTTTTTTTGGGGGGAGGGAGGGGTCGGTTGAAAGATGGTCTAAACCATTTTTTTTCGACCGCTACGAACCGTGATCGAATCCTGATTTGGGCACTTTTTTCTAATTAAAAAAAAATGCTCCAATGGCCCTCGATTCTTTCAAAAGTCCAACCCCGAGAGGGCAAGTAAACAGGGCTCTTGCATATTTGTAAGTTCAAAAGTCGAACTGCTTTTCACATGTGTAGACATGTGGTGTCTTACAATAAAAGCAATCGCTAACTACCCATCATGATTATCATGACCTGTACCATGTGTACTAGGAATGTTAATTTAAAAAAGCTTACATATCGTATAAACAATATTAAAGGTCAGCCATTATACGTGGTCAGTAACTGGTGTGCCCATCAAGGTATGCTTATAGGGTTCCAATTCATGATTCGACGTGTTCTGTGTCTTAACGGCGGCAATATACGTAGGATGTCCTTGACTACAGGCAGTCATGTGAGGTTCTGGAATAAATAATTGAATGACAATTATATCTTATACTCATTATAATTTACGCCATATATTTTATATGATGATTTACATACTAGAATCTATCAACCTAGTATCCATATAAATAGGGTAATTCATTTTAGAATTTATATCTGAATCCTTCGGCAATTGTAACTGATGCATTTATCTTCCAATGACGACAATAAATAGTTCAATTTTCACGCTTCTTTTTGTTTTTCAATTGAACTTACCTTCAAACTCTATTATAAAAATATAATTAATTAGTCAAATAGACTTTTTAATATGATTAAATACACCCGTAAAAGCTTTAATTAAGAGCTGCGAAATTTCTTCTCTCGCAGAAAGTTGGAGTAATTATCTTTTTTTTTATTTAAAGAATGGTATTTAACTTTTTGTAAGAGGCCTAGTTTTTTTCGAATCTATTTATTTCGGGCCTTCGTTTTATTTAATTCCAGTTCGAGTCGTATGATTGGTTTGTAATCCGTGGTGAACATTCCGCACCTCACATTCTGAAATTCTCTGTAAATGTAAAAAAGGCTGAATGTATTTTACTGGTTGATACCTATACTGCTGGCCATCCAAATTGCAACATCAAGAAAGACAAGAGATATCACAACAAAATTTATTTTGTAGATAACATCTTGACCATGTATCAAATGATTAAATTTATAGACTTCTGCGAAGTGTGGTTCCTGCCAGAATCTGTAACCAGAGTAGCCGCCATTGTTAGAGATCACCGCTACCACACGCCACGCCATTGATTCAAAGAGACTTTGGATGTGTTCTTGGGGTACAGCATACAAAGCAGCTTCCACACGTTGCCAAAGTTGATATGGTGTGGCAGCTGGGAAAATAATCTGGGTCAATCGTTGAGAAACCATGGACTACATGTTTTCTATCGGCGAAAGATCCGGAAGCAATTCATTCTGGCAATTGACGAAGAACTTTTGGAAAATGTGTGCCACGTGTGGTCGCGCATTATCCTGTTGAAATATGGCTGTGGGCAAGCCCTGAAGGTAAGGATGGATAACTGGCTCCAACACCTCGAAGATGTAGCGTTGGCTGTTTAAAGTACCGGCAATGCGTACTAAAGGAGTGCGAGAGTGATATACAATACCGCCCCATACCATAATACCCGGTGCAGGACCAGTGTGGCGGTGCTTAACGCATCTGTTCAGCATCATCAAGCGTGACTCGTCAGTAAAGACAATTTCATTCCATTCTGCCGTCCACATCCTTCCTTCATCACACCATTGGCGGCGGAGACGTCTGTGGTTCTGCGTCAAGGGTAGACGAAGCAATGGACGTCTTGCGGACAGACCACTCTGATGTAAACGGCGTCGAATGGTACGCGCAGACACTGGGTGATGCGTTACAGACTGAATGTGCTGTGCTACGTTTCGTGATGTGACTGAGCGATCTGTCACTGCCATGCGCACAATTTGCCTGTCAGCACGTGAAGTGGTGTACTGAGGTGGATGCGATCAAACACCTCGGACCGTCGTACTTTCCTGCATCCAACGATCACATATCCGCATTACAGTTGTTTGGTTTCGTCCAACATGACTACCGATTTCCCTGAAAGATAATCCACAATCTTAGTAGGCCATTATCCTTCCTCTGTCGAACTCGGATACTTGATAAAAAGATGATCGCTGTTTTCTACGAGACATTGATAGTTTTTTTTTAGACAAGAAAAACACAGTTGCCGAACTTGAAATCGTCGAAATCTTCAAGCAGCGTGCGTGCGTGATTCGCGTGCGTGATGTGCGTCTGCGCTGAAATTCTAATCATATGCATATCCCACTCCGCTATTGCATGTTGTAAATTTAATTTTATTTGCATGCTTCTTTCAGGGTGTTGAATTTACGGTGGTCAGAAGTTTATTTTTACACAAGTTTCTCTATACATTAAAAGCTCCCGTGAGTTACTCCTTTGAAGCGACTCCTTCAATAACCTTCTTAAGCGACAAATTTCGCCCACTTTGAACATAAAATGGAATTTGAAAAATGGTCTCCAAGCAACTGAATGTTGCTGTAGGTATTTCGCATCATTCTAATTGAATAAATATATAATTGACTTTTTTCCAGAGAGAGAGAGAGAGGTTTCTTCAAAACCTTTTCTCTCATCGAATTAAGAAATTATGACCATTGTGTGTACAAAAAAAAATCAAATCAAGAAAAGCAAACCTGGTGCGCGTTTTGGGCTGTTCTTACAATTCATCACCTGGTATATGAGACAAAATCAATACAATGATACTTTTATCTAATTAAAAGACTATCTATACCAACCATATACTACACTGATAAATTTTGAAATAAAAATATAAATGGCTCATCATTGGTTCATATCATGCTTCATACCAGTGGTTTGTCCATCTAAAGCCTCAAACATCTTACTACTGGATATTACATAGTTTATGTAGTGTTTGCATTTTTGAGGATTACAAAATAAGCGTATCTAAGTTTACTATGGACAAAATATTTTAGGAATTTTGTGAAATATATATACCTAAATAAAAGAAATATATTCAAAGATAATATTAAAAAATAATAGGGTTATATATTAGCGAATATTACACAGAAAATACGATGATCGAAATGTCATTATAAAACAATTTTTAAAGGTATTTTTATTATGAAACAAACCTTCCATCATGTATGCCTATATTCACACTTCACCTAACGCATTTTGAATGTTGAGAGGGGAGGATTATATATTTAAAGTTATTTATTTTTTTAAATATGAAGAACGATATTTACAATTAGTTAAGTTGATGTATGAGAAAAAATAAAAAATAGGTATGATTTGTCAATAGTGAACCTTTTCTCCCAGGAATAACGCCAAATTGATCCACTAAATGGTTACAACTATTGTATGTTCATTCTGTTTATAGGGTCTACACTATTCATGTATTCTTATTGATGGGAATTAACGAAAGAAGCTTTTGTAAATGTACAAATTTCACAAATATTATTGCTTCGAGCACAGTTATTAAAATAAAAAACAACAAATACAACACAGCCTCTTTAAGTAACATAGCTAAACATACACATAGCGCTCTCTGTGTGGAGAGGGTGGAGCTGTTCAACCCTATGTACAACTAATTTTAGAGATCCGCCTTTCATTTAATAATAAAAATAGTGTTAAATATTTCATTCTCAACATTCCTACATATATTTGGAAACCTAATTGCGCTTAAATAAATCGTATAATAATTTTATTATTACATATGAAGTATAAAAACTTTATTAAGCTTGAAGCTAATTGTTGCATAGTGCTACCTATCGCTAAAGATAACAACTAAAGGTTGATTATCAGAACTTGGTAAAACTTATTCCAATAGATAACCAACATTTAGTAATATCACCAGAGGTGGTTCTTTCTATTGGGTCCTTCTTGATCTATTCATCTTTATTTCGTTAAACATAATATCTTTGATTCATGTCCACAAAACATTTCAAAAAATTAATTAATACTATTGCATTTTTTATTAAAGTGAAAATATTAGGCCCCCAGGGAAAGGTTTTTTTCTTTTTTTTTTATCGAAATACTGAATCATATAGAAAAATACTTTTTTTATTTCTTTTTTAGTCATGATCAACACATATATACTATTATCTATCTCTAAAATTAAATCTTTTTGCAATAAGTTTTTTTTATTACCTTTTACCGTGATTAAATAATATCATGTGTTGGTTCTCTATCTCGTGCCGAGAAAAGGATCAATTTAATTATGTAATGTATACATTATAGTAATGTATAGTAAGGGATATATTTTCTTGAGAGGGAATATACTATATGTTCTCTGGAAATAATCAAATATAAAGTCTATATAGTAATTTCATTTTCCTGTGGTAACCCAGTAACCTTTCAAACTAATTTTTACCAAAATAGAAAGGTTTCAACTTTGTTATACAAATTGTGGGGCCTTTGGCAAAATATGTTTTTGTTTCAAAGTTGAGGAACGTGTTGTGAATTTTGAAGTCAATTCCTACACCGAGATATGTAGATATTCTGTTTTCCCTTCCTACACTACATACATAAATATATATACGTTAGTTTTGGAAAAGAGAAAATTGTATTTATTTACGTGATCAAATTTTCTCATTATGGAGGGTATGTACTTGGACACTTAAATTATATTATTCCATAGAAAATATTTACGAATATATCTATAACAAAATATTTTTAATGATATGATATTTGAGAAAATATTTATATATGTATATATATAATATATTCATATTTAGCATTTTTTATAATAAAAAATATCTATCTATATTAATAAAATGGAAATTTCATAAGTGGTGTTCGCTAAAAACTTTCGTTACAATGCATCAATTTCGACCAAATTTTCAACATTTATGTAAAACGAGATGGAGCAGGTTTTGCTTAACATCAAAATATTTTTCCTAACTTTAACATGCGTAACTTCGCTGTTATCGATTAAATACAAAAAAAAATCAACAGAGTTAATTTTATTTATATATAAATACAAAAAA